GGATAATTGTATCAACTAGTTCTGAGGAGGCTTTTTGTTTTTTCCCCCTCTACCCTTTCTTGTGTGATATCAAGTACCTCAGTTGGTTTGCAAACACTTGTTTCTCCAGCCTGTTCTTAATGCAAGTCATGGCAAAAGCTTGCCTTCTGTGGCATTTTCATGTCTTGGCTGCCTCTCAAAGCTCCAGGTAAGCAAATTTGGCTGTTGTCTGATGAAGGCTTGTCATTTTGATACGCCATTACACTCCGTGTTTCCTAAGCCTTTTAAAATTGCTGAATGTTTTAAATAAGTGAATGAGCTGATGTTGTTTGGACTTGCATCCCCCACCCCAATGTTAAGGTACTGATTGAATCTTGTTGGTGCAAGGCATCCAGACCTTTTTAATGTATGCATTAGACAGGTTGCTTGTAAGAAATGTAGGCAGGTAAAAGGATTAGTTTTAATTATGTTCAGAGCTAGTGTGATCATGAAGTAGGGGGAGCCCCTCCCGCTTTCCTGGGACACCAGCCGTAAGACATGGACCTGAAAGGCGTGTTAAAAGAACAGTCATTTAACGTTCTTTCCTTGGCATTGGTGAGATGTTTCTCATTACCTGGAGAACACTGAGACAAGTTCATGCTGTTTTCTTCAATGAATTGCCTGACTAGTATTTCCTCTCCTTTCCTTTTTGTCTCATGCTTGCAATTCCCGAAGCTCTGTCAGCACATTTTCACACCAGGTCTTTAAAGTGAGCCAGAGTTGGGGTGGGATGAGCTGCCCTGAACACACCAACACACAGAGGCAGGAAAGAATTTGCCAGCACAGGACAGGACCTCTTTCAATGTCCTGCCCTTAGGATTTTTTGTTTTGGGTCACTCTTTGAGGTACACATTAGGATCAGTTATTATGGAGTAGGATGGAAGGGTACCCAGACTTGATCATTTTGAATTTTGTTTCCTTTTAGTTTTTCATAACAGGGTTTCTCTGTGTGGCCCTGCTGTCCTAGAACTCACTCTGTAGACCAGGCTGGCCTTAAATTTGAGATCTGCCTGCCTCTGCCTCCTGAGTGCTGAGATTAAAGGTGTGTCACCCTTGCACAGCTTCCTTTCCCTTTTCTAGAATTGAGAAAAGGGTATTAAAATTAAAAAAAAAATGAAGCTCTTTTAGCGATATCATTTACTGCAAAAAAAAAAGGGGGTGTAGCACTGTGCTTATCAGCTGCATTCTTACATTTATCCTGTTGATCTTTGTTGAGCTTGGAACTTTGTGACCATTTGAAAAGCTCTATAGCTACTGTTCCTTTATAATTCGAACCATAAAATTTCAGCATTTGATACTAAAAAGTATAATGTAAAAAAATGTGCTTTGAGATAACTTAATCTTTGACCTGTTTGAGTTGTTCCTGCCAAAGGTTTCTTTTGAAAATGAGTTATGAAAATGTCTCTTCACTGTAACAAGTTTTAAATTTAAATATTTTAAATAATTTTTAAATTGAACAACTATTAATTCAAGTACTGAGGGTTCTCTCTCTCTCTCTCTCTCTCTCTCTCTCTCTCTCTCTCTCGTTTTAAATATTACTTTCCCCTTACCTACAGTTTTATTTTCTGTGTTTTCAGTTACCTGTTTTCAAGGGCATTTAAAAATACTAAATGGATGACCTCCAAAATAGACATTGCATTAATATTAAGCTGTATGCCATTCTGGGAAGTTGAAATAAAGACCTTGTGCCATCCTACTTCGCCTCTCTGAGGATGTGAGTCATTATTTATTTTGGGGGGGTAGAATTGATACTATATATGGCACCCACCTGTTGGCCACTTAGAAGCTACTAGGTTATCAGACCAATTGTCCTAATGATGTAATGCTTGGGTTCCAATAACCCTGTTTTACTTAATGGTGTGGAAGCTGCCAATTTATTATAGTGTATTCTCATTGTTCTGTTTTTATGATGTTATTGTTAATATCTTTTCTGTGTCTCATGTAAAAAATTAGACTTTATCCTAAGTATGTGTCTAGAGGTGAGAGCATTAAAGCATGTAGGGCTCACTGCTACTCACAGTGCAGGCATCTCCTGGGAGTCTTAGAACTTACTGTTTGCAGATAAGAGAGTACTCCTGTGTGTGTTTTAGCTCAGGCAGAGCTGTGCTATGTGCTCTTTTGTAGAATTACAATGAATTATACACGCAAAATCTGCCAAGTTTTTTCCCTTTATAAATGGGCAGGCGGTGGGATTAGATCATGTGAAAATATAAAGTGTGCTGTGACCTAAAACATCCTTAATTTGAGCAATAAGGGGAAATGTAACATGTAGCTGGTGGCGATGTTGAGGGAGCAGCTTCATAATCTCCAAACTCCCTGCTTCTCCCAGGGGTCATTAGGCTCTGCCTCAAAATAACGTTTTGTTCTCGATGCTGAAAAATGTTCAAACAACTTGGACAGTGCTACTACATTTTCAGTCTAGTGCGCTTTAACTGAAAGAAAGAAAACAACAGAGAGCAAACAACTCTACTAGTACTAAAGAAAACAATGCTCTTAAACATCACAAAAAGCTGAAAACGAGCATATCTGTTTCCTGAAAAAAATTAGACCATCACCCGGAACAGGTGTTTCTCCTGCTTGGGGATCAGTATATAGTCACTGATTTAGTCTCCAGTCCTGTACCATCACAGGAATTAAAATACAGCATGGCCGATCATTCTAATGACCTTTTCTTTACCCAGTTCCCATTGAAAGGAGGGTCTATAAATAACAAAATTCTCCAGCATCACCGTGTTTCTGCACATTTCTGTTAAGGGTTTTGTTCAATAACCCGTAACTTCTACTGCAGCTGTATAAGCAGGTTCATATATAGAGAAATGAAATAGCATCAACTATGTAAATTCCAGAATCGTGAATATCAATTGTGAGTTTTCTATTATCTCTTACCAAGAAAAAAAGTGTAGCCAGTGGCATGGTATAATAACAATGGCAATAACAATGATAAATAGCACCACTTGTTGATGCTAACACTATTGCAAGCATGTTGAATTTTGTTTGAATAATGTTTGAATTACATTATGAATAATTTAGTCCTTCCAGTAACTATACTATTATTCTCGTTATTGAGATGAGATGAAGCTCAAGGAACTTAGGAGGTTTGGCAGAGGTGGCTCAGCAAGTGAGTTATGAGCTGGTGAGCAAGCCCAGAAGATTTCTAGGATTTGCCTGCATCCTCAGCTTGGCTGTGGCCACATTCTCCTGCCCATTGAGGAAGCTTTATTCAGAAAAAAACAAACAAACAACAAAAACCACAAATTGACAGACCTTGGTGTTTTTTTCACAGAAGGACTGTTTGTTATAAATCAAATGCTCAATTGAGAACATGGGAAGAGGGGGGAGGAAGTTATGAGAGTGAGAAGGGAAGAAAAGGAAGGATGCAGAGGTCATGAGGAAGCAGAAATTTTGAGTTAGGTGTAGATTAGAAGAAAGGACATAGGGCAGGTAGGATTTTAGTTGGGGGGGTGATAGAGGAGGAAGGGAGGGAGAAGGGATCTGGGATTGTCATGTAATCAATCTTGTTTTTAATTCAAACATATAAAAAATAAAATAAAAAAGAAGCCACAGTACAAATGTAAAAAAATAAAAAAATAAATCAAATGCTCTTATCTGCTAAGCCATGGTTCCTAATGAATAAAAGTTGGCTTCAGTTTCTTTCATGTCTCCATTGATGGCTGTCTAAATCAGGATTTTAGTTTTCTTTTGTTAAATAAGGCCCTATATTTAATATTGGTACTCAAGTAAATATTGACTACAAGTAGCTTGAGTTTTTAAGAGGACCACCACTTATATAGGTGGTTTTTCTTACATGGAGGGGTATAGTACTGATAATCAAAACTTTCAAACACACACACACACACACACACACACACACACACGAGTGCAAGACTTGGACAATTCAAGATTTTTATTTTTTTCAAAGAATATTTTGTGTTTCATATTAATTTTATAATTATATTTTTATGATATGCTTTGCTCTTATTTTTATAATGTATTTTTCAAAGTTGAGGACCAGGAGTATCTTTTTCAGATCTTTTTGAAACACTCATGGGAATTATGCATTAGCTAGAAGATCTGGGATTGGTTATCATGGAGTCTAGATTGTCCTGGAACTGTCTATGTAGCTGAGGATGACCTTGCACTCTTGGTCCTCCTGGCTCCACTACCTCAGTGCTGAAATTGCAGACCCATACTTGCATAACACCTTTCTTATACCCTCCCTCCTCTTTTAATACTGTAATTGAACCTCACGTAAGCTACATTTGGGCTTGTATTTAACCGATGAACTGTGATTAGTTTTATATATTGTTTTACCAGTATCACAAGCACCCTGAGTAAAGTAGGAATCAGAGTGAAACCATGGTGAGTTGAGGGGGACATTCCACAGCGTTTTGGCTCTAATACAGTGTAGTAGGTACTACGTTAACAACATGAACTAAATATGAAATTGCAGAGTGTGGTATGAGTCTGTAATGGGCAGGATGTAGAAACTTTGGGCCTTGAGAAATGATAATGATGCTGTCATTCAGGCAGAAGAAAGGTAAATTCATATTTTTTAAAAAATAAAAATGCATTTCTAGTATCTCAGGTGTTACCTCCATGTCTTTTCCATCTACCAGTAGGGAAAAACTGGAGACACCCTATATTTTGTGGGACACTCTGGCCAGCCTTTTGAGATTTTAAGAAGTGTGATTAGAGGCCACCAGCTATACTTATTGAGAAGTTCACACAGCTAAGGTCAAACTCTTTTATGAGGTAGGGCAAATGGTTTATTGTATGCAATTGTTGTATCAGGTATGCTGATGTCAATTCTTCTATTTCAGCCTTCTAAGCAGTTTTTAATGTGTAAAATTACTGTTAAAAATGCTAAGGACATTCTGCCGTTCTTTTTGTTGTTATTTTTGGTTTTTTTTTTTTTTGTTACCTTTCTGTCTCATCATTTTGTCACAAAAGTATATATATATATTTATTTTGTTTTTTGCCAGGTTACATTTTTTTAATTGGGGTGGAATTAGAGCTTTTTCATTTTGGTGGCTGGAAAGTACACCCAGCTGAAACCCATCAGCCACTTAGACTCCATGCTTCATTTGAATTGTGCTTCTGGACACAAGTCAAGGATGACAACTGTGAGTTTCATAACTTTCTCTAACTTGATTCAAAAATGATTTGGGGCCAAAATACTTCAGAGACCTTTTCTGCCTTCTGCTGGTGAGGCACTATGGAGGTTATCAAGGTTAAGACTGTGTTTCTGGGTCTCATAAAAAGAAAGGAGTAATGAGGAAGGGGCTCATCGTGTCTTGTCTTTGCCTGTGTTTATCCTGCAATGACTTACCTGTTCTTGCTCAAGATGAATATCTCACTGGGTCTGTGCCTCTGAAAGTAAAAACTATTATCTGTTAGGTATTTTAATCTGTCTTAGAACTGCCAGTATTCTTTCATTGGAGTTACAGGTTTGGAACAATGTAAAATAAATTAGGAAGAGGAACCATGTCTTCGGAGAAGGCTGAATGGGCAAGAATGGGCCATAGAAAGTCAGAGTTGGAATAATTCCAATGTGGTGAGCAAGTTTCCACAGTATTTACTACCTTAGGCTCCCAGAGGATACCTAATTGAAGTGGAAGTTTTCATTTGGAATTTTTTTTTATTTTAAGTTGTTATCCTCCAGGATATTCCATCTCCAAATTATTTAGCTTTTTTTTTTTTTAAAATAGAGTCTTGTTTATTAAGGTAAAATGAGTTAATTCTATAAACATGAGTCTGGATAATTAATACAGATACATTTGTGCTAATCAGTGGGTCAAATACTTATCAAGCACGTAGCATGTCTAGGTATGATATATTTATTAATGCATTTACATTTCTGACAAAAGAATGAACACTTTATTATAAAATAATACAGTGTAGTAAATACTAAAGAAATGTTTAGCAAGTAGAATCCATACAAATAGGATGCTTATGACACCAGCATGTATCATGGACAGAAGGAGAGAGACCAGATGCGGATGTTACAAGATTTGAAGTTTTGTGTATTTTTGGTTTGGTTTGCTTGTTTGTGAGACAGCTTCTTATGTACTCCAGACTGACTTGTTAACTACTACGCATTTAGTCAAAGTAACCTTAACTTCTGACTGATCCTCCTGCCTCTACCTCTTGAATGCCTCCATGCTTAGAGATTTGTAGTTTTAGATGATAGTTTGGTCAGCGATGCACTTATTAAAACATAGGAAACACAAGAAGAAGCAACAAGTGGTTGTTGTCTATGGTAAGATTGGTAGTGAGTTTTGGTTTTTGTTAAGAGTACCTAAATGTATGTAGATCTAGATGTATAGGGGGGAGTTTAAATTACATTTTAATTTGCTATCTAGAGAGAGATAAAAGTTAGACATGGGTTATGGAACTCATCCAAATATTTGAAGCTATGGGGATAGAAGGAATGGCCTGGATAAAACTTAAGTGAAAAGAGTATTAGTGGTACTAAATGCATACCCCAGTATCTATCTCTGTCACTGCTTCTTGAGCTGATGAGTTGGCTCTGCTGGTAAATGTGCTTGCTCTGCAAGTCCAATGACCTGGGTTCAATCCCAAGAATCCATTGTGCAAGGAGGAAACCAATTCCTAAAAATTGTCTTCTGACTTCTATGTGTGTGGTGGATAATGTCCTGCCCAGGCTTTTTATATTGCGTCCAACACATAGATGAGCAAGCAAACAGATGAATAAATGCTCTGAAATGTGCTGTCATCTTCCATTTTCCCAGACAGGGCAACCTCTGTTGTTTCTAATCATTGTCTCTGACTTCCAGACTTCATCTTAGTTGGTTACTCCCTCTCTCCTTTGACCTCTTCAAGGTTGTATTTATGCTTTGGTCCTGCCACACTGACTGGTTTCAGCTCTTGTGCCTGTCTTGTAAAGGTTGAAGAACTTTTGACCTCAGCTTAATTGTTCTGTTCTTTGTCATTTGTATAAACTTTCTAGGGGGACAAACTTAGTAAGAGTCTGATCAGTGTCTAAGATATGTGAAGTTTATTGAATGTGCTTTAAAAAGATAAAGGTTCATTCATGGAAAATATGGATAGGACATAGAATTCTATCAGCTGTCATGAATAGAAAGTCTAGATGGAAAATTAGGATGATGCCTTGAGTTTTTATAACTTGCTTTGGGAAAGGGCTCCAATTTCTATAATCTGCTTTACAAAAGAGAAGCCCTGGCTTCTTCGATTCTCAAAGGTGAGAAAGAAGGATAAGAGAGATCAGAGAGACCTTGGTCCTGAGGCATCCAAGTACTCAACATGCCCAAGTATCATTCTTTTGGGGGATGGTTTTTGACTCCCAGTAAAGTAATTGGTGGGAAGAGGAAGAAGGTAGAAGGTTTTAGAGGACCTTGTCATCTATTGGGAGAGCTTTGGTTTTTATCTTGAATGAGATAGGCACGGAGGACTTGGGGATTTTAAGATGAGAAGTGACCCAGCATGTTTTGACAAGATTGCTCTGGCTACTGTGTTGTAAATAGACTATAGGAGGTTAGAGTGGAAACGGAAAGCCAGTTGAAAGCTCTTGCAGTAATCAAGCAACAGATGATAGTGGGTTGGACCAGAGTGGTGAGGGTAGAGGTGGTGAGAAGTAGTTGGATTCCGGATCTATTTTGAAGCTGTTGTTAACAGAATTTCCTGATGGATTGGACATGTGGAGAAAAAAAAAAAAAAAAGAAGTGCCAAGAATTATTCTAGTTACTGGCTTCAGAGAGAGAGAGCGCGAGAGAGAGAGAGCGAGCGTTGTTAATGTCAAGGAGGCAACTTTGAGGAGGAAGGCATTTGAGATAAACTATGCACTTTTTAAACTATGCACAATTTTTAAAATTGTGGTAAAATGCACAGAATATAAAATGTACCATGTTAGTCATTTTAAAAGTGTAGTTCAGTGGCTTTAAGTTCATTTGTAATGTTGTGTAGCAATTACCATAACCCATACAACATCCCATCTTGTAGCACTGAAATTCTATGCTAGACACACAGTAATGGGTTCTATTCTTGTCTCCTAGTTCCTGCAACTACCACTCAATGTTGGCATTGTGGTTTGTTTCTATTGCCCCTAAGTACTCCATAGGCAGAGTGGGAGGAGCTTCTGTCCTTTTGAAATTGGTTTCTTTCACAGAGCATTAGGATCTCAGGATTGATCCAGATTGTAACATATGTGAAAACTTTTTTAAAGACTAAATAATACTGCCTTGGATGCATAGACTACATTTTCCTTATGTTTCTAGCTATCAGCAGACAAGGTTTGCTTGCTTCCATGTTTTAGCTCTTGCTAACGAGGCTGCAGTAAACATGGATGTACACATATATCATTGGGATAGACTCAGAGGTTTGCATACTAGGTCATATAGCAATTCTGTCTTCAATTTTCTCAGGAAGTGTTCTGCTGCTTTCCCCATTGGCTTAGTACTATACATTCTACTCCTGCATCCTTGCCAACACTTGTTTTTTGTTTGTATGTATAACCATGGAATTCATCGGAGCCCAAGCTCAGTATGGCAGTATTAAGAAGGGTGACCTTTATGAGGGGACCATGATAAACATCTTTTCATGCACTTATAAACCTTTTATGTATCTTCTTTGGAGAAATGTCTGCTTAATGTTTGAATATCTTTTAGGTCCTTAGTTTAATAAAACGCTGTGTATTTTATCCTTTCTGTGTTACCAGAATTAGAATTATTTTTATTTATATATTTTTTGAAAGCAGCATTGTTGAGACTAGAGATATGTCTTCGTGGTGAAGTATTTGCAGTGCAAGTGTAAGAACGTTAGTTCTAATCACCAGCACCCACTTAAAAGCTTGGTGTTGTAATGCTTGTCTGTTACGCTAGCACAGGAGTGGGGGTGAGCAGAGATAGGTGGCTGCCTGGGCCTCTCTGACCCACCAGTATTGCCAAAATAGGGAGCTCAGGTTAAGTGGGGTAAAAAATAAGGTGAAGAAGCAGTTGGTGAAGACAGATTGATGTTACTTTCTAGCTTCCACATTGCTCACATAGACATACCTCTCTCTCTCTCTCTTCTCTCTCTCTCTCTCTCTCTCTCTCTCTCTCTCTCTCTCTCTCTCTCTCTCTCTCTCTCTCTCCTTCTCT